AACTATTTCTCAGATTATGTAAATCATATTCTTTCATAATGGGTTCAAAAATTTGTTATATATTTTGGTTAACTAAATTAATTCTTCCTCTATTATAAAGGACTATTATTATCTAACTCGAACCAGAAGAAGCAAAAAAACATTTATTTTTAAGATAATATGAAAAAATAATTTCATTTCAATTAAATTTAATATTTTTGTTAAATCTAACACTGCTATCAGCTTACGAATACTCAACACAAAGGCACAAATGTATATGGAAGTAGCAATTCCTTAGATGAATATAAAACCAAGAAGAATGATTAATGAAAATAGTGGAATATAGTCACTCTTATCGGTGAGAAGTTTTCTTAATTTCCGATTGATTTGGATTCTCGATAGTCAAGTATCATCATAATGAACTATTCAGATGTTGTTTTGAAATAGTTGGGGACTAGGAAGATCAAGATATCCTTTTATCGTGGACGAGCATCAGTGGTGGTGAAACCAAAAAATAATGAAAGGGTTATATTCGGCGTGTTTGTGCTTTGATCCTTTGAGCACGTGGGTTGGAATACACATCTACAACAAACGAATTGGCGCACATTGGTATCAATCAGATTTAAAGATCTATATAAAATGTTTGTTACACATGTTTCTGTAAGATTAGGATATTAGATGATTCATTGGATTTTTTACAATCCGCGAACACAACTGGTGCATATATACAACTCCAGAATTTAAGATTATCTAGATGTCGGATTTTATGGTCCTACACAAAAGACTTATCCTGGCAGGTCGCCTACGGATGTCACATTACTGAAATAGAATAGCTATAATTCACAAGTTAAGTTATGTATTTTTAAGGCTATCATATTATGTATACAAGTACTTTTTTTAATGTCACATTTTAGTAACTTCACAACTTAATAATTTATTTTATTATAAGACTTCTTTTTTTCCTTCGTTCCTAACTTTTTTTATTAGTCAATTTTTTCATTCTTATAAAATATTTAATTTCTAATGGCAACTTTAACTTGCATTTGCGTAAATAATATCATATTTATATTTACTTGTACTACCTTGTTAGACGCCCTTTCTCCGATAGAACTTAGTCTAAATCCAAAGTTTAATACTTACTAGCATGTAATGTCATCGTCAAATTTCTAGGTCCATACTTTCATTAAAACGCTCTCAACAATTAAGAAAAGCACATTCCTTCATATTATATTTCCCATATAAATTATTTTTACATAATCCATTTAGTTTAACATATAATTTAAAAAAAAAATGAGTTGTGGTTGTCTCTTTAATGAGAGAGAATAATAACGTTACATCACTTTTTTATAATGGATTATATTTATTTAAACTTTTAATTTAAATTGTTATAATCGACCGTTAAAATTATATATAAAATTTTTCATAATAAAATTTTATTTTAAATTATTGGTCTTGAGGATATATATAATTAAAACATAAATTCCATATAATAATAATTATTTATTAATTATTAAATACATAGAGAGTGTGGGAGATAGAGGCAAATGAGGTAGGAATTTTTAATAATTGGGTTTACAGAGAGTAAACCTGATGTAGAGATTACATCAGGTAACCAAAATAAAAAAATAAAGTGCCATTAAGAATACCAGATTAGACACTTACTTTTTTCGTTTAAAGGGCTGAGTGCTTTTGTTTAACAGGTAAAAATGTGAATTTGATTTATATTGGGGTTACCTAATGTATCTTTACATTCAGGTTTACCTAATGCCCAATAAAAAATTAATCTAAGATGGTATAACAGGTACAAAGAGTTTCGTGATAATTTCATTTTTAAATAAAAGTTATTTTAATTCTTAATTTTAAACATTTTTCATAATTTTAAATTTTTTTTAATTTTACTTATAAAATTTATTTTTAAACTTACTTTAATCTTATTTTTAAATACAACAATATAAACACATTTTATTTAATTATTATAAATAAATTTTATTTAAAATTAATTAAAATACTTTAATGACTAACTAATAAAAAGTCTATTTATATTTAATAATTATATAATTTAATAAATTTAATAGTTAATTACAAAATTAAATAGGATTACTCATATATAATATAAATAATTAAATAGGTAACATATTTAAGTATTAAATTAAATACTTTAGTAATGTATTTTAATATTATTTAAAATTAAGTTATAAATAAATAAAGTAAATATAAATTATATATCAATTAAACTATATTAAATTTAAAATATTATTAATTATGTTAAAATTAATTTTATTATGCAATTTATATTTAAATGTTACGTTAATTATTTTTTTTAAAAAAATATAAAACGATATTTCAAATTATATTCTTTTTATAAATGAATTACATTTTCATATATTTACATTATTTAATAATTGATTTTATTTTTTACTAGACTAATTTTACTATATATTATTTAAAATATAACTAATTATATATATAATATATATATATATAAATTATATATATATGAAATATTATTTTTTATTTATTTAAAATTTATTTATAATATTAACTTTACTTGTAATAGCATTTTTATAATTTCAAGCAATTTTTATAAATTTATATTATTTTTATAATATTAACTTTTACTAATAACACATAGTTTTAGTAATTATATTTTTTTATACTAATTAAAATATAATTTTTATATTTTTAAGTTATTGGTAACGATGAAATTTATCCTTAAATATAATTTTTTTTATATTACATGCCCTAAACATTTTATATTAAATATTGCCTTAACTATTTATGAAGAAAACACAATGTAGGTTGGCATTTTCTGAAAAAACGCAGAGGTCCCTTGCGTTTTGTATTGAAAACGCAAAGCTTGATTTCATTTTCTTCAGAAAATATAATCATCCTTTGCGTTTTCTTCATAAAACGTCATCCCTGTTCACTTGTATGCTCCCTTTTAATTTTTTTTATCTGCTCCTACTCCTAATACTTTAGCCAAATCTGCTCCTAAAAATTTCGCCTAGGAGGAGGGTGTAGCAGATGAAGGCATAAAGGATTTAACTTATGTTATAATTATAATGTAATTATAAACGAGCAAGTTTACAACACATCAAAGAAAAATTATAATGAAAGAAAATCACCAAAATTTTAATCTACATAAAATTTTCATCAAACAAAACATCAAAATTTTCAAAACCGTCATATTCGGATTAATTTGAGTCAATCTAACAATTATAATGGTAATAATAATAATAATAATAATAATAATAATAATAATAATAATAATAATAATAATAATAATAATAATAATAATAATAATAATAATAATAATAATAATAATAATAATAATAATAATAATAATAATAATAATAATAATAATAAAGATAATCTATTGCTTGTTTATTAGTTACATCTATACTCAACTTGATGCCAAAGTCATTTTATCCTCTTCCGGGTGAAGTTTATTCATCATTAAACACTTCAGCCACAACTTTTTAGTCAATTCATTATTGGCATAAGCAATCTGAAAAAGAAGAATAATAATATTCATGTAAAATTAATTAAATATGCGATTGATGTAATTAAATAAAGTGATAAAGAATCCACATGACATATCTCTTTAATTTTGGGCTTTAGCCCACGATGAGGTCTTGTGGGCTATGGTAAGTGCACATGAGCATTATTACTCGGCTGTCTATTAAACAGGCTAAAAGTAAATTAAATAAAATAAGACAAATTAGGACTGTACAATAATGGTTCCAATATGTATAAAGAAAATCAAATTGAAAGAATGTGTTGAGGAAAAAGTGCATTAAAATAAAATTTTATAAGAAAAGATAATAAACAACAACAACATCAAACATTTATCCCATTACATGGGATCGGCTACAAGAATTATTTTTCTTCATTGTGTCATGTTAAAAGTCAAATTCTGATTTAAATATAATAAAGAAGGTTATTTCTAATATTTTCTAACCAAGTCTTTTTAGGTCTACCTCTACATTTCTTAACATATATCAAATCTAATACATCTACTCTCCTAACAGGGTCATCAAAAGGCCATCGTTTTACATGACCAAACCATCTAAGGCGACTCTCTCTATTCTTATCTATCACTAGAGCTACTCCAATCTTTTCATGGATATGCTCGTTTCATATCCTGTCTCTAAGAGTAAATCCACACATCCACCTGAGCATCCTCATGTCAGCAACACTTAACTTAATATTATGCTTATCTTTTAATGGCCAACATTTTGCGCCATAAAACATTGCATGCCTCACCACCATTTTATAAAATTTTCCCTTAAGTTTGAGTGGTAGTTTTCTATCACACAATAAACCAGAAGCCTTCCTCCACTTCAATCATCCAACTTAAATTATACTAATAATATTCCCATCTATTTCACCATCACTCTAAATAATAGATTCAAGCTATCTAAAATGAGTACACTTATAATGACTTGATCGATCAAAGTCAAAAACCACCCACAAAATCTATTACTACTAAAATTTCACTCATGTATTCAGTTTTAAATCTATTCAAACGAAAACCTTTAGACTCTAAGGTTGACCTCCATAATTCGAGTTTACCTTCAACTCCCTCTCTAATCTTATCAACAAGAAGAAAATCATTAGAAAAAAAAATACACGATGGCACATCCTCTGGCAAATGTCTAGTAAGAACATCCATTACTAAAGCAAAAAAAAAAAAAAAAAAGAGCTTAAGGTTAATCCTTGATGTAATCCAAAATGAAAAGATAATAAAATCAAAATTATTAAAAAAACTTATGGATGGGGCAATTAATGGATTAATCAAAAACTTATTAAAAAAAATTTATTAAAAAAAAAAAGCATAAACAATAGTTTAAGTAGCATGAAGAAATAAAATGATCGATTAATGAGACTGAAATTAGACTGTTAGGATGAGGCAAATGATGCGACTTCTATTTCCACAAGAACATCGAAAATTATCATAAAAACCACCAGCAGACAGAAGAATGTTAAGAAATATTTAGCAGTAAAGTACAAAATGCTCATCAAGAATTAAAACTATTGATAATTAAAATAGAGTATGAACAACAAAATTCAATAGCAGATGAAGACAAAGCAGTTAAACAGTCAGACTGGAGCTCCCAGCAATTTGAGAAAATTGTACCTTGCTCAAGAAGATAGAAACTGGATTCCCAGGTGAAGGAGGATTCTGAATCAATAAATTTATAAAAGGCCCAGCTTTCCTGTAAGCAGACTCATCAGATGACGACAAGATTTCAACATGCTTGAGGCCGAGCTGTCTTCTTATCAAGTCCAAGTTTTCTCGAAGAACCTCGATCTCATCGAAAGGCAGCTTCAGATCAAGTGCATGAACACCGACATGCAATGCATCGTCCATCTTAAACTTAATAAAAGACATACAAAGTTTCTGTATCTGTTTCAAGCTCATATCATTCCCAATAGAGCTTTCTTTCAGTTCTTCCAATATTTCCTTTTCAGATTTAAAAGAACCGCTTTGTCTGTCAAATTTCCTTTGAAGTACCATTAAACATTCTTCTTTCCGGCCATCGTATTTCTCATTAACATAAATAAGACAACCAGTAAGCATATTATCTTCTGAATTTAAATTAGCAATCTTCTTACTCTTCTTTGAACTTGAGAGTTGTTTCTGAAGCAGCTTTCTCATTAAAATAATTGAATCCTGCAAATACTTGTTAGCTCGCTGAAGAGTGAGATCAGGAGAAGCTGCAGAAGGCCAACCGGCATTTACCACAAAACCATCCTTCTTCAAAAGGAATTTCCAAACAAACTCTGCATAGTGCGGGCAGATAGGAGCAATAAGTCTTGTTTGAGCATCCATAAACCGTCGCAATAATTCGCGATTCATGCCCATTGACCCACAAGAAATCCGGTACTCATCTCTAGCAGCCTGAAGGTCATAAAAACCTGTTTTTAGAGCATTTCTGAACATATAGTCATTATAGTTTTGTTCAGTCAAATGCACAGCAATGTTTATTTCATTGTCAAATGCATGATCAGCATAGGTAGATGGTGGCCCAGCACGCAGAGATGAATCTGCAGCCAAGACTTCCTCTATCCAAGAAATCTCTTTGGTCAGCCTCAATATTGCAGCATTTGCAGTTTCGAAAACAAAGTTTGCATCATCCATAGCATCCCCAGCATCTGCAAGTGAGAATCTAGTAGCATCAGTAGAAAATTCCTCAATTGCCTGTCGAAGAGTTCTAAAATTTCTGGTGGACTTGGACATCTTCTCTGAATTGAGCATGATATGTCCGTTGCAGCGGAACCCACGTGGCCAGTAATGACTAGGTACAAGAGCTGTGTGGTTATAGATGCAAAATGTAAGGTGATTCTGGATTAAATCTTTGCAAGATACACGAAGATCGAAAGGGTACCAATATTCAAACTCTTGCTTCATTTGGTTAAGGATAGATGAAGGAATATCCGATGTGGGTGACTGCCCGCCGACAAAGATATAATCCCAAACTTCATCAGTCATTTGTTCAGGTGTAATTGATGAGGAAACTGAACCATACATATTACCATCTTGTAGAAGGTGAGCAATAGTGTAATATGCCATGTAAAAAGTTGAATCAGACAATGATTCCACAAGGAACTGCTCATCCCATGGAAGCCGAGTGCCAAGTCCAAATGACCTTGAACAAGCCCATTGATTCAACCAGCTCAGTGTATGCTCAAAACCATGACGGGTTTCCTCAGAGTAGAGCTTCATATTTGATAAACAATCTTTTGCCTTCTTTTTCCACTCCTCCTCGCCATATTTTATGTACCACTGATCCGTTAAAGCCACCACACATTCATCATCTGATCTTGACATGACTTTTTTTTCAGGCTCGCTATATATAACTGCTTGTCCAGTCTCAAGAAGTAAAATTTTTATTAATGGCTTGGCTTCCTAAACCTTCATCCCTTCGAACTCACCCACAAGCATTCTTCCATCAGTGAAACCCTTCAAATATGTCAATCTTTTAGCCTCAACAAGCTTCTCTTTGTCATTTTGGCTCTTTATTTTCAAATCATGGCATACCTTCTCTGCAAATTTATCACCAAAGTCTAGGATGTTAATAATAGGAATAATATCAAACAGCAAAACCCCTCATCCTTAACTCCAAAATTTGATCTTAATCCTTCTTTTGATTTCAAATCTTTCAATGCCATGTAGTCATCTGGTGAGTCACTGGGCACACTAGTCACAATTCCCGTACCCTTATCTGTTAAGATTATAAGCATGTGAAGAGCGTATATTACTGGATTGAAAGAAAGTGGGGACTTTAGTCGCAAACCAATAAGATCCAGACCAGACAACTAGAGCAAGCACGTTGCCTTCTCCGGAACTCTAGATACCTTCTGATATGCAAGGTTAAGTGCAGACCTTTGTGTAAGAATGAAAACATCAGTCTCATTAATTTCGAAAGCTCCATACTTGCCCTCAGGAAGTACCCAACAGTTTGTTTGCCCATACATTGTTTCAGGCCGTAATGTTGCTGCCGCCAGGAAGATGTTTCGGCCTTCCAACATTTTGAACTTCGATGGAAATGGAGGGATGACCTCCATTTTAATCAGAACATAGTCTTGTGGCTGAACACCTTCACCTGAAGCTCGGTCATGATCAGCACATGGCTGACCATCCAATGGAGAGTAGATAGTGTACCTCATATCCTTCATAATCTTACCCATGCCCTTAAGCTTTCTCATCTGCCACTTAACAAAAGAATCATAAAAAGGATTCATATCAGTGGTAATGAAACTGCGCCGCCAGTCACAACCAAGGCCGAAAGACTTGAGATCTTCTTTTGCCAAAGGAGGGAAATAATTAAGCCATCGATTTGGATCTTTGAATTCAGCAATTTTTTGGTCTGGAAGTCCAAAGCTCCTCATAATCTCCCACTGAAACTTCTCCCTTCCAAATTTTGCAGTAGCTTTTGACCGTTTGCTCTTGAACTTATCAGGGGCTACTAAATTTCCCTCTTCAATTTTTCTCTCTTCAATCTCATCTGTAAAATCCTCCTCTGAAGGAAATAAAGGTGGGTTTCCATACCGTTCCATCTCTCTTGCGAGCTTATCAGCTGATGCCTTGATGGGCATACCTGTGCAATGGAATGCAAAAGGAAGGAGAACATTTTGACCACAAAGCCGATGGTAGGCCGCAGCAAACTCAAGCTTTGATAGAGAGAAGGCATGGCCCAGATGCAAAATCCCGTTCATATAAGGGTAAGGGAAATTTCCAAAGAACTTCTCACCTGGATCAGGTGGCGTGCTTCTGGAAGTAGCCTCAAAAATCTTTTCTTCTTCCCAAAGCTTTTGGATCTGTGACTGTATCTTGAGCAATTGATCTCTCCTAGCAAAGCTTCTTTCTGCCTCAATGTTTACTGCCATTGTCCTACAGAAACCAGTAAGGAAACATCAATAATGTCTAATACCTTCGATCCAAACAAAATTCTGTTTTGCAGTCCGAATTAGTTCCGTTCAGGAAATCAAGGTTAGAAGAAGCATAAACAAGTACTAAAATAAAGTAAGAAAGTAACAAATAAATTTAAATGCCTTATTATCTTGGTTAAAAAGACCGATAGGTTACTAAGTTCAGTATCAAAGTTCTCATAATTTTCTAATACTTGCAAATCATGACACATGGAAGGATGGAGCGATCAGGCAACGAGATAAAGTGGGGCTTAGAGGGAACGTAGGATTTGAATAATTGGATTATTTTGCAATAAAAAAAGAAAGTAGGCTACCATATAGAGAGCAGAGAAGCTTCAATTGGGGAAGGAGAGTGGATCAATTTTTCATTTTTTTGTTTTTAAAGAGAGATATTTTGCTAGGAGTTTGCTTGTGAGAGAATTAAAAAGCAGATGATAATGAACACATGCAGGAATTACAGAAGAAAGAGAATATAGGGCATGGAGCGCAGGCAGGCTTGACATGAATTCCAATAGGAATGATAAGAAGGCATACGCCTCATAAAAATACTTAAGGCGTAAGCCTCGAGGCGTTTTACACCAAAATTGCGCTGAGGTGGGACCCATATTTAGACAATGTCTTATTGTTGATGCATTTATTATAGATGTCTTTACACTTCAATTGAGCTTATTATATATTTTTCACATTTTTCTGTTTTTAATCAAGAAAGTAATAAATACTCTTTTCAATATAACAGTTTTCTCACACTATAGATATATTTCCTTTATATTTTTATTTAACTTTTATGAGACAACCTACGCAATCATTAATCTCCAAAATTTCCCTCAAATTGAAATAACCTCTCTTCTTCCATGATCTTAGAAAACATAAATATAATCATATGATTAATAAACTATGACATTTCTTCAAGGATTAGCACATACCATGTTCAGGCATTAATTAGTTATAAATACAAGAGAATTTGAAATTTATCCATCAACTTACCACTCCTCCTTTAAACTCTACACATCATTTATCATTTTGTTATTTCCTATTATTTGTTATTAAAGTTGAACTATTGAATGCATGCTGAAAAGTTGGATGAATGAATTTTGAGGGTTAAGTTTTGGATCAAATATGTTTGATATAAGATTGACATGGTTCCAACTGACCTATAGAAGTCTAGAATTAGTATTTAGTCCTGTCTATTTCAAGTTGAATGAAACCATTTCCTACTCGTATTGCTTCAACTCTCTATTTCTACAACTCATTAACCTTCACCTGAATTATATAATATCTTGAACTACCATGATACCTTTTTGACATTTATATTAAATTTGCATCGACACTTGGTGCTTATACTTTATATGATAAAGAAATATTATGTTCTAATGATATGCCACAAATAGTGTCTTTCTTGCATAGGATAGTTTTCTCTTATATTGTTGAAATTTTAATAAATTATTCATGATTTTTAAATTTTTACACTACTTTAAAAATAGTGGGTGATCGTTATATGCTACATTCTATGAATTCATGAAACCTCTTTACTATGAAGCACTATTTTCTATTGGTAAATATGGGCTAAGTAGTTCTTCAAAATACATTTTCATATTTCAACATTTCCACTTATTAGAATGGAAGCATTTTTTTAAAATTATGCAATATGAGGCTCGCTTCAGCGCAATTCTAAATAAAAACTTCTCAAGGTATAAGCCTCGATTTTTTTTAATGAGGCTTACGCCTCATCTTAGCTCACGACCGCCTTGAGGAGCATCTCACCTCGCTAGTATGAGGCGTATGCCTCAATCTATTTATGTATTTTTTATTTAAAACTTATCTAAATCCTATACAATAGCTCCAAAAAAAATCATGCCTTCTTGCAGCCCTAAGCCACAACAACTTCCTCTCAACTTCCTCAACCTCTAGCCCACCTCCTTCGGCGTAGCCACCACCATCGTAGCCACTACAAGGGATTACTTGAAAGCCACATGCCACCATCATCTACTCTAAAAATTTTGTAATATTATTCTTATCTTTATGTTGATGAAAAACATTTATGAAAGATGAAGATAATTGAAATAATTCAATAAGAAAACTGAGATGTATTGAACCCTATAGAATGAGGCAAATGAGAAACCAATTTGTTATGACAACGACTCAAATAAAAATCGCCTTAATAATAATAGAACAGATGATTTGTGAGTCATTGAGTTGTAAATTATTTTTTAAGGAATTAAACGTAAGATGCGTAGGCAACTGAGAAAGAAAAAATTTAGAGATGTACTTAAATGTTATATGATACTTTTATGTAATTCATATATTTTATGTTGTTTTATTCTAGTAATATTTGAATTTCAATTCTAATTTACATCTTATGCAATTTTTGTTTCATATGTACATAAATTTGTTACTTCATAGTTCAATAGAAATTTAATGTGGTCCTTTAACATATTATTTGGATATTATATAAAAAATATTTTTAACTTTTATTTTAACTTTACACAATTTTTAGATTTTGAGGCTTATGCCTCAAAACGCTTTGAGGCTTACTCCTCGTCTCATAAATGAAAAATGCCTTAATACTCAATTGTGCAGTTTAAACCTTGAATGGAAGTGCTATGTTTGGCTCCTAATTAGTGATTAGCTAAAAAATTTTGTGTCAAATTAGAACCAATATATTAATTAATATAATAGATCATATTCAATTTAAATTGGCAATTAATTATTAAATTATGCAGTAGTTAATGATCAAGAAAATGCATTAGCCTAATTAGTCTTAGAATGATTAAGTTAAAGATTTACAAGACTAATTAAGAATAAATTATTTGATTAGGTTAATTAACCATTAAGTATGTTAAATAGACATAAAATAACTACTAAAATTAAAAAGATATTGTGATTCATATTTTAAATTAGTATGATTAATAAACCTATTTAAATTTTGGTTGAGTAAAACAATCTATTCAAATAGTTGCCTAACAAGCAATTGAAAATGCAAATACATAGGAGTTATTAAATGTCATTATTAGATAAAAAAAGTTTAACCATGATAAGAAACATTAAATTAGGACATTTAAAGATTAATTATTGCAATAATAAATTATTTGAATTAGTTATAGATTAATTAATTAGAATTTTAGCATAATTAATAATGTGTTAATTAAGAATAAAAATACTAAATTAATTTTACACGAATATTATAATAACATTTGTTAGGATCATTCAACAAACTTATATCAATGTCACAATAGCATTTATAATACAGTTTCACCTCTTGCAATAATTTAGACAACAATTTTAATGAGGGCTTCAGCATATAGCCATCAACTTTAAGTGATAGCAAAACACAACACAACAAAGCATACTATAAATTAGCAAATGAACAGCATAACTCAAAATAAAACAGCAAAAAGAATAAAGCCTTAATGAAAATACTACAAATTAAAGGCACTTGACAACAAATGACAATTAAAGACAACAATGGGGCTATTCAGCAATAAGGCTGTTTAGCTATAAATATGATTTAACTCATGTAGGATTTAAAAAAGTCCTATAAATACAGATTTAGTAAATATTACAAAGATCAAAGCTTGATAAATGTTTGGCATGTAAATATTGCTTAATCATGATAAATTATTTAACTATCTATTTCATTATTTAAGATTTGTATGAGGAGAAATCATTTAACCCATTATAAAATTGTAGGATTTAATAAATTTTAAATTTAACTAACAACTATCTGAAATGGGATTTAACAAAATAAAATAATTTAAAGTCCCCAAAGTTTTGTTTGGCATTATTTAAGCTAAATCTTGTCTGATCTAGGATAGGAAGTAACTCCTATTAGTGATAAAAGGAGTAGGCATATCAAAGATTCCTTTTTCAATGGATCTACCCCATTTCAAATCAAGATCTGGAATCAATCAGATAAGATCAGCACACTAGTTATAGACATTGTCGGCCCCACTTTGACACACAATCTTATGCAACTAGGGTTTTCTAATCAATTTACCAGGCAACCACATGCTATTGCTTATGGATTGATGCAGTCAATATATCCTACTTTATATTTTTCTTTTGTGACTTCTCATTTTCCTTGTTGTTTGCTGAATTTCCCTACTATTTACTGAAAATTCCTGCTGTTCTAAAAATTCCTATTGTCTTCTCGTATTCTTACTATTGTTTAGTCTTCCCAAAGTTGTTGTTTGATCTTCCCCTATTGGTTGTTGGTTTTCCCCATACTGGACATCGGTTTTCCCTCCTGGCTCTTCGTTTTCCCTTATTCACCCTTTAGTTTCCTTATTGTTTTTTCTGATGGATGCTCGTTTTCCCTTCTGTGGCTGCTTGGTTTCCCCATTTGTTGAAACCTATGTTGGATGCTTTATTTCCTTATTAATTGGACTTATCAGAATGATTTTTGTGACTAATTTGGAAGGCTTCTATTGGCTATTTGGGTGGAAAATTTAAGTTAACATTTAATATTATTTTCCCTTCTTTTTCTATATAAGGTAGTTGATTTCTTTATAAAAAAGATGTAGAGATTTGTGATGAATTGTTGGAATGTGAAACCTATGGGTTTTTAGCTTGCGAGCTAAGCCTCTACCTTACTTCTTCTATTTTGTATCGGTCTTCTATCTACTTCTTCTCTCCACGGTTCTCATTCCACTTGTTCTTCTCAAAATTTTTACAAGTTGTAAGGTGTCGTTACGTCGTGTTTTATTTAAATTGTTTGTTGTTGTTGTCCTTTTTATTTGAAATTGTAAGATGTGTCTTTATTTTTAATAGCATTATTATGTTTATAATAAGAAAGACTTGAGTTTGCCGTACTTGTGTTTTTATTTGCATCAATTTGATATCAAAGCTTTAGATTGTCATGTGAGTTTTCCTTCCTCTTTAAGAATCAAAAATAAAAATAAAACTAAACAAATCAATCAACAAGCCAAAGTTCCAATTCAAGAGCAAGATCTTCAATCAGAAATAG